CGGAAGACCAATTTGGGGAAAAAAGTTCCCTTTCTTTCCTGGGTTATTTTTAAATGGAGCTTCCTGATCTGGTTTACCAGGTTGCCCTACAAACCCTTGTGCTGGAAGAAGGGAGAAGGCCTGCTTTTTCCGTCAGCAGCCACTGCCTTAAAATCTTCAGGAGAACTTAATTGCTTGAGTCGAGGTCATTCTCATCATTTGAGTGTTAGATGTTTCTGCAGAGTGCAGGTTTCTTTGCAGTGTAGCTGATAGAGTTTACAGAAAAAGCTCTAGGCAGAATTACCTAGATTGCACGATTCTGAATTTTCCATTGATTTTTGCATGTAAAATGAACTGCTGATACCGAAGTAGGTAGTTATTCATTTTTGAACCAGAACTGCAAGGTATTGCATACGTTTCATGGGTAGATGTCAAATATTCATTTTTTTTATATGTATTTATAGGAATTCCTGCACAGTGTCTTTGACAGCACTGGAACAGGGGAACACTAGAGGGGAGGAACAAGTAAAATTGACAAAAATCCTTCCTAAGGAACATTCTTGTGCAGTGCCGTGCCTGTGATCAGAGCCCCGCATGCTTCCTCTGAGATGATCCGGTGGTAGATACTCGGAGGGGGAAAAAAAAGTACGACCCTTGCTATAATATACAACGCAGGCCTCCGGATCGGTGAAACTAACCTATCAAGCCTGCTGTCACAAGTAGAAGAGGTCAGTAGTAAATAAAAGTCGGGACACTTAGGCAGAGACGCTTCCGTCAGAGAAGGGGAAGATTTAGAGGTCTGAATTCCAGTGTTTCAGGACTGTAAATCAGGCACTGCCTGACAGGGTGAGGAATTTAACTGACACTAACTGACTGGAGATTTATGTGTTTATGAAATTAAATACTTTTTTGGTCTTGGAAAGCAAACTGCATTACAGAATTATACCAGAGGGCAGAGTGGAATTTATCATGAAACATCTTGTAAAGTCAAGTGCCAGTGAGGAAGGGAATGGGTTTATATAACAGTTTTTTCCCCAAATAACGTTTGTCTTGTTCTCAGGTTATGGATTATATTACTAGGGTAATAGTTATTAAATTAATGTTCACCAGAGAGGTACACAACTAAATGAACTCTGTGTATGATGCCCCTCCCAAGTTGTCTGTCTGCTTTTTTTTTTTTTTTTTGGTATGAGATTTGCTAGCTCCTCCCCAGCGCTAGCAGGGGTGGTTGCTTCCATTTATGGCTGGGAAATTCCCCAGGAAAATGTGCTTTCAGTTTGTTCTGCCCTTTGCAGTGCATGAATTCTCTAAAATGCTGAAAGGCTTAACTGAGGATGTAGTTTTATCCTGAACTTCCCTTCTGTTTGTGTGTTCCCCAGCCCTCCTTTTGCAAAACGATGCTTGAACGTAGACTAACGAACCTCCAGCTGGAGTGATCTCCTTATTCTTTGGTACACTGAAGGCAATTGAGGAGGTGATAGAAAATGTCTGGGCCCAAAGAATCCTTGTAGGTGACTTTTTTACAATTTTTAGTAGCAGTGTTGAAGGTGTGGCCTCCGCTCCTTTTCAATAAGTTCTTCTTTGTGCTGTGTTTTCTCATTACAGTTAGAATGAGATAAAAGTGCTAAGTTAAATAACGTGTATGGTTGCTGGAATAAATTGTCAGCTGTGAAAAACTGAAGCCCATTACTCAAAAATCTTATCTTGCGGGCCTTGGGGTCAAAGGTTTGACTTCTCTATATCAAAGTTCATTAACTGGCTCAACTGGGCAATTCAAGAAAAGATTTCTTCCATGCGATTACAAGTGATGAAATCAAGCAAGTAATTAGCCTCGTTTGTTCAGCTGTGAATGGGGGTTTTGCATGCTCTGGTAGCTAGGGCAACAGCGCTCTGCTGATATGCAGACTATTTGAGTAATCCGTGGAGGAGGAGTGGTACCTTTGCCACAGTGCTGAGGTGTCAAGCCAGAGACAGCAAAAATAAACACTAGCTAGCATCAGTGTGTAAATAGCGGGTGGTCATGATTTCAGCAGGTTGGTATGTGTTTGAACAGGAGTTTTGCTCATGCAAGAGCTATTATGAATGGATTACTTACGGATGTTTCTGCCTCTCGGAATGGACCCTCTGCACCTCCCTTACTTAGGCAGTTACCTTATTATGGTGCGTGCTCATTAAGTTGGCTTTGAAGAAAACAAATTTCAAGTATAGACCATGCTAATGATGTCCAAACCATTCATAATGCGTACATTTTATTCTCTTTTGATGCACTGTTTTCTTCTTATTAGGTTAAGTTAATGCTGCATACCCGCTTTATCTTGCATGTCTTTTTCTTCTTTGCTCTTCAGAGTTCAGCTTGAATCTTGGACATAGCTGTAGTGTTGTAGTAAAGCGAAGTTTTGCTCTGGAGCGTTTCCTTCAATATGTCAAATCTTGTACTCTGTGGAAGGTGGTTGTTGGTTGCAAAGTGGTATTTGCTTGCAGAGGAAAAAAAGACCTTCTTACAAAGTGTGTGTGTGCGTGTGTTTGTGTTGGTAGAGTTATGAAGGATCATTCTGTATTTGCCTTTTCTTCTAGAGGGATAGCGCAGTGAGCAAAGCAGGGCGGGAGCCTAGATTTTGCGGTGGTGCATCAGTCTGCTCTCTTTTGAAGCACCTGTCTATTAAATGGGTCCCTTTGCGAAGGAATAGAGTTATTGGGCCCTGTTATCCAGCCTCAGTGCTTTCATCAGATGAAGCCGTCCTCCGCTTGAAATGTGTAGCTGTCTTCTCTCCGTTAGGGCAGAGTATACAAGAAATGTACCTAGGTAAATGCTTGAAAGTATACGCCGCTTATGCCGCTAGCTAAGCGGCATGATGTTCGTGGTGTCTTCTGGCTTGTCATTCTCCCAGCGGAAGAGTCTGCTGCTTCTGTCATGGTTCCTGGCCACTCCAGAAGGACAAAAGACAAGTGAATAGCAAGTGAGGGTTGTGCCCTTTACCTTCTGCCTCCCCTTGTCCTCCTCCAAGATGGCAGAGTAATGGAGAGCTGGGGAAGCCTTGGAGCCTGGCCCTTCCCAAGCCTTTTAAGAAGCAAGCTAGTAAATTGGTCCTTTCTTCTGGAAGAAGCTAAACTGTAGTAGGAATTCAGAGTTGTTTGTTCTGTGTATTGTAACTTCTAGGCCTTTGACTTCTGAGATGGCAAATAAAATTTGCTGCTTATAGCAAAACCGTTGCTTGGTACCAGTCTTCTGGGCAGTACGGATGCTTCTTCACTGCCAACATGTACATGAGAGGCTACTCCTGTTAGAAGGCTTTTAGGTTCAGCTCTTGTTAAAGCATAGCAAAGTGAGAAAAGGTTTGACCTTGGAAGCGTTTTGTGACTCGAATACGGATGCTCAATTTCGGTTAAATATAGCTTGATGTTTCATTACTTCGTGATCTGTGCTAAAATTTGCTCTCATGAACTTCTGCTGGGTGAAAGGGTTAGTAAACAGAAACTGCTTGCATGTTAACATTTCTCTTTAAGGCAACCTGCTATTTATAATGTAGTTCTTAAAACTCGAGGGGTAATTTTTCTGAAGTTAAGACAGGAATCTATGTTTTTGTATCTTAAATTGGCCTTATTCCCCAGGCATTCACCCTGGGTTCAGCACTACACAGTCCTTGATTCTGAGTGTTGAAATGCCTTATCACTAGGCAGTGATTTTGTGCGTGAAAGGAGAGAGGGGAGGAAAGGGGGCCAATTATAATGGAGTTAATTTTTTCCTAATATCCAGCAACTGGAAGCTGGATTGTCCAGCTGAATTCTTCTCTTAAACGCACCTTTATTTGCTTTAAGCATACACGTGTGGGTAGAAGTTGATGGGGATCTGCAGGCAATAGGGAATGAACAGTATACACAGTAACGTGTGCATTTTGAGTGCTTGAAAGGTTAAATATGAAGGCAGGTTTGGTGGCCTAAGGTCCATCTGCTCAAAAAAAAGAGACTTTGGGGCAGTGGTGCCCTGAAGCCTATGTCTCTTGCCGTTTCTGATTTGCCTTATCTGAAATGGTTGAAATGAGTTTCAGTCCCCTAAATGTTTTGACATGCTTTAGATTTGGGAGTGGGTTTAGAGTTCATCTGTTTCTTGCCTCATACGTCTTTTTTTTTTTTTTTTTTTTTTTTTTAAATCGAAGGCTAGTTAAACAGGGAGAGGATGTTCAACTCCCAGGATACCGTCAATCTTTTCAATAAAACCTCAACTCTGCAATTAATTTAATCCCCTTTTCTTCTTTTGGTCAGCCAGCAAGCTTTCAGAAAAGGAGCCTGACCTTGTTTTCATTGATCAGTCTGGAGTTTGACCAGAATGTCAGTTTGTGTTGTAGGGGTTTTGTCATAGGCTCTCAGTCTACTGGTGCAGGGTGGGGAGCGCACAGAATTTGCATCAGAAACCTGACAGTGCAAATATCCATCTGAATGCACTGAATGAGGGAAAACAGCAGGCTTTGCGGAGCTAGTTTCAACAGCTACTTTTTTTTTTTTTTTTTTTAGCAGAAGTCCTCTTTAGTTTTATGTTTCAGTAAGAAACTTAATGTTTCTATCCCAGATATTTGAAGGCTTTTGGGGAAACAGAGGGCTTAAAGCTCTGAGCAGGTCTCATGCAGGGGGAAATAGTTATTTTATTATTAGTAGCAATCCCCAGGCTTTGTGTAACCTCTGGAGGAGTTTCACAGGCCACCGCCTACTTTTGCCAAAAGTTACTAGTACAAGTTATTTATATTCAGATACTGGGGATGGAGGTGAGCTCTTTCAGGTTTTTCAGACATCGCGGGCGCGACCCGTAAGTCTGAATTACTCGTGTTTTTTGTTTTGGTAAGCTGCTGCAAAAAGTAGCAAGAATAGACGGAGTTTGGAAAAACAAACACATTGGTTGAGAAAACGTGACGGGGGCCCGCCAACTTAAGGGAATAACCCTAAATACAGTTAAAAAATACATTCGCAAGACTCCACTGATATTCTGGGTTAACTGGGAGCTCTCTAAGAAGTGGTCAGAGTCTTTCTGGTTCTTTGAGTTGTCCTGCTTTGTATGAGATAAAGCAGTCAACATGTTTTGCTTTGTTTGTCTTCACAGGCGCTTGCAGCCAATGCTGGGACAGGGTTTGCAGTGGCAGAGCCTCAAATTGCCATGTTCTGTGGGAAGCTAAATATGCATGTGAATATCCAGACTGGGAAATGGGAACCTGACACTTCTGGGACCAAGAGCTGTTTTGGAAGAAAGGAGGAGATTCTGCAGTACTGCCAGGAGGTGAGGTGACTCCTTGGGGGTCTTTGTTCTCCATGTGATCCTAACTCTTCACTGCTGCTAAGGAATTGGATGCTATTTTAGCCAGTCAGTAGAAAATTAACCCTACAGGAGAGTAACTGGTTCTTAACTAACTCGGTTCCCTGAACGGTCTTGCTGTATTATTGCCCGAGAGGAGCAGGGGGGATGCTGCAGTGGGGGCTAGGAGGTACCTCTCACCTGAGATCAGCTTAGGCTGCCGCACGAGGTCCTTGCAAGTCAGAGAAGCGTGTGTGCCTGCATCCACGTGATTCCTTTGAGTGTTTGGCCTTTGGGCTTATTAGACCAGCCTCCGCACTGTATTTGTGCGGAGTGGAACCTGACAGCATTTCACATGTATTCTGTGTGATTGGGTTGTTGCTGGGAAGAACATGTTCGGATCAGCCAGAATGTTAGAAAAATATTTTCATCTAAATGTTGGCAGTATTTTTAAGCTCTTCATGCCTTATTGTAAACCCTTAATCTCCTTTCATTGTACTCCAGATACTGTAGCATATTGGCCTTGAGAAGTGTGTTTGATTACTTCTTTGAGGTGACAAGCATGTAAAATACCACAAGGAATGCTTTTTTTAGTGGGAAGGTGGTAGAGCAGCCCGTGTTCGGACTGGAAGACTTTTAGAACTGCTTTACAAGGCTGATATAACTGGGACTGCGTTTGGTTCGGGTAATGGAAGCCTAAATATAAGTCAACGTCTAGACTTGAGAACTTGACTTGAGTGGGACATAGGGGTCATATTAGTACACTATAAAAGGAGGCAGAAGGAAACCTGAGGAGTTAGGTGCATGTTTGCTTGACAAGTGTTGAGGGAGCCAGAGTACATTACTAAACCCTATCTGTTGGTGATTGCCCTCTTCTGGAGGGTCATTGCACCTGCCAGAATGGGGATGGTAAATGCTTCTTGTCTGCCCCCATGCAAAGCCAAACGCCTCAGCTTAAGGTGCTGATGAAGGCTCTTGGCCCAAACTTGGCTTTCTGCTGCCACATATGAAGAAGTGATGACACATTCCACTTCCCGAGGCTGGTGTGACAAAGAGCTGTGGGGGCTTTCGTGTCTTCAGCTCTTGTAAGCTTGATCTAGAAGAGAATGTGTGTCCACGTGCAAAGGTGAAGCTTATTTTTATTTAGAAAATTTGGCTTCTCTACTCTTGTCAGGAGTCCCTTTGTGCTTTCTTTACCCTTTCTGGATAGAAACGTATCTGTGGGTCTTTTAAAACAGATGTATCCAGACCTTCAGATTACGAACGTCGTGGAGGCCAACCAACCTGTCAGCATCGACAGCTGGTGTAAGCGAGGGAAGAAGCAGTGCAAGGACCACACTCATATTGTTGTGCCCTACAAGTGCCTAGGTGAGTGCATGGTGAGATGCAGAGATCAACGGGGAGAGATGTGTTTGTGCCTTCTGGGGTGGGGGAGCAAAGAGTTGCCTCCTGGCTTCTTTGAGGGAGAACAAATCAGTTTATAAGGCTTCTCTCGTATCAGGTTGCCATTTCCACGTCCAGCTTCCACTGAAACGTTTTTATTTCCACAAGATGGAACTCTGCCTTCTTCCCAGCAGATCGACAGCTTGGTAACAGCTGTGTTGGAATAATGGTGCCTGGCGTGAAAAAGCAATCCCCATTCTCTCTGCAACTGCCTTAACAGCCTGAAGGCTATTGTGTTTGAGTATCACAAAGACATTGGGATTTAATACTCTGATCCTATTTTTGTGGAGCTTTAATATTTTGTTGCCTTGGAGACTTCCATGCTCAGTACGTTCAGGCTTCCTGCTTTGGTCTTGGCAAGAGATTCCTATTCTGTTTCAACTGACTATATTTAAACTTCGTTGTTTCAAAGAGGCCTTCCTTCTTGCAGCTGTATCCCATGTCCCCACTTTGAACTGTGAAAGAATATTAGATAAACTATAATAGATTTCATTGTACTTTTGAGTATCTATCCACCCACTTGAATCAGGCAACAGGCTTAGGTTGTTTACCTTGCGGCTTTTGTCCTGTAGGCTGTGACTAACGCTGCACTACGCTCCAGGCATCCTTAGTAGTAAACTTAGTCGCAGCTGACTGGATCCCTTCTCCAGTTATCCACAGGAAAAGACTCTCTTAACTCTTTGCAAGAAGTCTTGTGCTATCTTGAAGAGTCAACTTGTGATTGCTGGTAGCATTCAGTGAAAGCCAGTTTTCATGCATCTTGTATGTAACTGAGGCTAGCGTGTGGTTTGACATGAGAGAACACAAGCAAATCCACAAAATTGTAGAGGTACTGTTCCCTTGTATGTAACACCTTCCACTAGAAGATCACGAAGCACTTCATAAGCACTAAATTTAGTATGGATACGTCCTGGGAAAGGGGTGCTACTCTCACTTTATAGACGTGGAAATTCAGATTTGAGGAGCAAGCAAACCCAGCTGATTGAACTGAGCGCTTCTAGTGGAAATAAGGATAAAGGTAAGATCTCTGGACTTAAAACGTGTAATCTCTTTTAAAAACAATCCTTTCCCAAACATATTCTTCAACTGAAAAGTAAGATGATTTTAGTGACACTGCGCTAAAACTTGATAAGCATTAAATGATCTGTTCAAACCCTTAATTGGTGTCTTCTCTCACAAAGGTTTTTAACTTGCAAGGCAACTCTGGTTTTCAGATCTGAGTTGCAAGTCAGTCCATCCATATGTGCATAAAATACCTCCTCTTTCTCTTTATCAGTCCCTGAATTGCTTGTTGTAAATGGATGATGTATGTCTCTGCAGGAAGTATGACTTTTTATTGCAGTCAGAGTAATTTTTTATTTCGTTGCCGCTTGCGTCTTCCCTGCTGCGGTCTATCTTGAGGTAGGATTTTGCTATCAGACCATGTTCAATTTTCGCCCCGAAACCTCTTTTGTATTTCAAAGGTGGGGGAGGGCAGGAGAGGAGAACCCATCAGCGCTCTCACTGAACTGTAAAATAAAAGTAACAATAGGATGATGGGAGCAGGGCTGAGCTTGGTGAGGTGTGAAAAGACAAACTGCTGACAGTCCTGGCTAAGCTGTTAGATGGCATGGAAACACCTCATCTGGCTGACTCTGAAAAGGGAGACCCCTTTTTTTTGTTTGTTTGTTTTTGTTTTTTTTCTTGCTAGCACTGGTCATGGGTGGGGAAGGTTTCCCATTAATGCACAGTGTATAATGGATTTTCATTCCCAAGCTGAACTGCGAGAACCTTCCATGTCCCTTATGTAAAGCTTAGGATTCAATGTTTTTGCAAATGGTTGCTTTTATCCCCACTGTTTATTATTAATTATTGTTTCTGATCGCTTTGAGTCTTCTACCTTTGGACCCAGAACCACAGCCTCTTGGTTTTAAAGTTTGGTCAGTTTTA